CCTCTGCTGCTGACTCGTCAGACAGCATTTACCACAGGGTTTGTTTTCCAATTCCCTCTGCCTTTTGGCTGGTAGCAACAGATGTCTTCCTCAGCCTTTCTCTCTGTTGTCAGGCTCATTCCAGTGGTTAAAGAAATCCAGCACGTGGCTTCCCCTGGAATACAGTTTATATGTTCAAAACAGTGAGGTTTCATAAACAGCTTTCAGTTCATCTGTTAAAACCCATCACATGCAATTAATAATATGGTCGTTGAGTCTGAGGTGAACAAAAGGATGAAATCAAATCTTGTCTCTTTTGGATTTAATAAAATGGCTCGGTCTAATTTCACTGTTAATGGCTCACATTCTGAAGCTTTTAGACAGTGTGCCATGTTCTGATAGCAGAGAGGAATCTGCTCAGCACATCTCATCCTTTCGTACAGTTGGTGGGCTTTATGTTGGTCAGTATGCATTTTCCTGTGTAGCTGCTTTTGATGATGAAATAATTCACTTGAAATAATGAAAATTTTAAAAACAACTCCAAAATTACAACAGGCAGAGTGGATGGAAAGGAGGGATGCCATCCTGAGCTGTTTAAATTGTTCTGAAACCCACTGTTTGGTGTATCAAAATTTGCATTAGGTGAGGCTGAATGTTGTCAGCACCTATGAAGTTGATTTATGGTGGGTTTTGGAGGGGGTTGTGTCTGAGGTGATACAGAAAAGCTGTACCCATTCTGAACAACAGAAAAGGATCAAGTCTTGACAGCTGCTTGTATCTGCTGTCCCTGGTCTGTCCTGAATTTCCAAAGTGATTGGCTTTGAATCTCTAAATGAGAATCACAGAATGTTAGGAGTTGGAAGGGACCTCTGGAGATCATCAAGTCCAACCCCCCTGCCAGAGCAATCGTAGCCAACTCCATAACCATTATAACTCCATAACTCCATGAACATTTGTTTTGTGGAAGGAAAGCTGCACAATTTAGACTCAAATGTTCCTTTTTCATTTTGTTTACGAACTGTCAGGAATTTGGATTTGTTGGTGGATAATTTTAAGTGGAGAAATATGACTGCAGTGTAATAATATGTCTGTAGAGCACTTTGAAGATGAAAAGCTCTATATACTGTAAACATTATTACTAGTATAGCTTAATCTGTGTGGAATAATTAATCTAGCATGAGAAAAATGCAGATTTAAAAAAAAATGTCCAGCATAGTGTTTCAGAAAGCTTGATGCACCTCTGTATTTACTTTGACATTGTAACTTAAGAAATTCATCCTCTTATTTTTTATTATTTGTATACTACAAGGATTCACTTTGTTGTTTCTTTCCAAACGCAGAGGCAGTCCTAATCCAGAACAACCTGTCAGAAAAGTGAAACCTCTGTGCTGGGAGGAAAAATAGGTGGTTTTTTAAAAGATGGTATAAAAATAGTGTGTGATGAGAACTAGGTTCTGTCAGCTCTGGAGATGCTCGGGGGGCATTTGGCCTCCTTGGGCCTGTACTGAGGCTTTGGAGGAGTCTTGGCTGAGTGCAGATAGAGCCGTGCAGGTGCAGGATTGTGCTGGGGAGGGAACACCTGCCAGGCTGCTCCAGATAACTCGGCAGCTCAGAGGCATTTTCCCAGGCTCCCAGATGAATGGTCCCTCCTAGCCGTGGGAGAGGGGAGAGTGGGAGAGGGCTTCCCAGTGCTCCACGCTGCACCACAGCCTCTCCTTGGCAGCCGTGGGGAGGCGCAGGGCAGCTCGGCTGCGGCTGCCCTGGATAGTCTTACAGCAAGGAGCTGGTGTCTGAGACTTCCTCCCGGTGCTGTGGGACTGTGAAATCTAGCAGGCAGGGCAAATAAACCTTCCCCTTAAAAGGCAGCTCTCACTGGTGCCTATTTCAGCTGAAACTGAGCTGTGGGTTTTTAGAGCCACTTGTATTCAGTCACATTTGGGGTTGCGGGATCTGTTTATTTGGTTGGATTTGGGGACTTCTGTTGGTGTTGTGTTTGGAGGTTTTTTTTCTTGTTCATTTGTGGAACCTGCTTTTAGTGATATAGGTACACAGTTTTGAAGGAAGAAAACAGAACTCCAAATCACTAATAACAGTTTTATTTCTGCTTCTGTGTTGGTAGTCTGCAAGTGGTGCTTTGTCTACCTTGCATGATGAAGAGGAAATGGAAGATTGGGCCAGCAGGATTTGCTGAGCCTAACATCTGTGAACTTCCAGTGTTTTGCAGCCAGTAGCATAAAGAGAATGTAGCTTGAGATAAAAACTTCTGTGGTGTGCTTAAAAGGAGTTACTGACAGATCATTTGGTACATATCAGTTGGTCCCTTCTTCAGATATGAACATCAGTTTTTGGTCCTTGCTGAGTATACACCAGCCATCTTCCCTGGACCACAATCTGCAGCTTGCCCAAAGCCAACAGCCAACAAACTACAAATTAGGACAAATCTGGAATTGAGAACAGACTTAGACTCATGCTGAGTAACTGTCTAGAAAGCTCAAAAAAGATGCAAGTTGTATGACGTTGTTGGATAAGGTTTTGTGGGGCTTTTCAGTTTCTCATTTCATGAAGCAGTGGTTCATGATTTCTCTTGAAGGAAGCAGAAAGAGGATATCACAGTTTTTATAGTTCTGCAGTAACTCTGGCAACTTTAAATCTAGGGAAGTTTTGCAAATTCAGTCTGACTGTGGATTAGATCAGATGTCACATACAAGAGGGTTTCAAAACATTTGATGAGTGTAGCTGTGTGATACTTTCAAAGCACAGGTATCGTACGTAATGCATCTTACAATTCTCTCCTAGTTAACAATAAGTAACAATGAATCAACTGTTCAGGCTTTTTTAGCAAAGTCAAGTAGTAAATAGTCATTGAAACAAAAATTATTTTCTAGCATTGGTCTCTGAGTTGAGCTTATTAGCTCAGGTGCAACTCCCAGTGAAGCTTTATAAGACTTTCGGACTTGAGCTGACACTGCAACAATAGCACAGAGGTGTCTTGATCTCTTACATAATTATTTATTTTGTTACATTTGAGGTGGGTGTTCTCTTCCAGAGAACAGTAGCTAGCTGAACTGGGAGCCTTTAGGAGGAATTTGAAACTGTTCAGGCCATTAGTCGATCAAATATGATTAAACACTTAACCTCTCAGAGAATACCAGGATAGCAAGAAAAACAGATATGCATGTCACTGAGTCATAAAAGAATTTCAGGAATGAAGTGTCGTGTTTTTCCCTTTGAAAAGCAAAATATTCACACTTTTTTCATCTTAAGTCCTTCTCAAGGAAAAAGAAAAAAAACAAACACCACGTTTGGACTATCCCAGACAAATGGAGGTGGAAAGACTCTTAATATTTACTCTCTGTTTGAAGATTTGTGAAGTTTTACTTTTAGGAATGTTGTTTTTTCAGTGTCACGGAGGTCACAGTGGAAGATGCTGTTGATCACACTAGTAACTTTTTTATATAAAAAGCCAGTGCTTTCACTTGGCTAACCCTGCTAGCAACGTTAAAGAATTGTGAATGCCAAACTGGAAATAGCTAAAAGTAATTTTCTTTAATTGTGCTCGTAAATATACAGTTAATAAAGCTGGTGGATCACATCCAGATTTTTCTCTAGCGCTCATCATTTTAAAGGGATGGTTCAACTTGTCACATCTTGACTTGATCTCTAGAGGGAAGTCGAATTTTAGGTGTCTTCCTGAGGGGAAGGAAAAAAAGATGGTTGATAAATTTCAAAGGGATTGATTGTGATCAATAACTGTAGTTGTTAATGAGAGGTGACGCTGAGCCACGCATGCCGGTGAGCTCCAGGAGATCTTGTCCAAGTAGGAGAGCTGTAGACTGTGCAGGAGAGCACATGCATTTTGGGGCTTACCCTTAGAAATAAGGCATGCCTTGGCACTTATTCTGTGGAGATTGAGACTGGAACAAACAAGCTTTCCTTACTCCTTTTTAAATGGTTAGATTAGAAGAAGAGCAGTAGCACTTAATTTTCTGACTTTTCTGTGGTAATTGCACCTAGGGTATCTGACTGTCTGGGAAGCAGCTATAATTTAAGTCTTGCAAAACCCGTCAGGGTTAGGAGAAGTACCTCTACCCCTCTTCTGCACATTTATTTTAGGGAGGTGTACAGTGAGACAATGGAGGAGGAGTCACAGATGCTAACTTATTTCAGTTTCAGTGGGAGTTTGGTTGCTAAATACCTTTTGTGAATCAAGTCCTAACTGATTTACTCAGAGTCATTTGGGAATTTAAGTAGAACAAAAGTAAAAGCTGATTTCCTTAGCTGTAGTCTAATAGTCTCTTCACTGTAATATAATCCTTTCTGTCATTTTTTTATGCTGCTGGTGCACAAGGATTTCAGTTGTTCTCAGGAGTAGGAGATGAAGAAACCTCTGTGTATGTTGCAGGTATCTGCTGGGCCAGCCAGGCTAGCTCTCTCTGCTTGTAGATACTGAAGAGTTTAAATATATGCATTTCTTGCTTAATTCAATGAAATCACAGATAATTAAGACCTTTCATGTTTGTTTCTTGTTTGGTTTGGTTTGGTTTGGTTTTTTTGTGTGTGGTTTTTTTTTTGTTTGTTTGTTTTATAAGCAGTGTTTTTTTCTATCAGCTTTTAATGTTGCTTTTCTCTAGAAGGCAGCTAAGTAAACAGCCATCTGTAGTGTTCTCATAGTAGACTATGTATGAAAACATGGTTGTGAATAGACTCCAGCCTATTGGACTAGTGACCATGACATTAGGCTATTAAGCAGATGGCATCTCTGATCAAATAATTGATCTGGTTGAATACCAGAACTTGGTGGTTAGTAATTTTAGATTTTTCCCCTGTTTCAGATACTAATTACTTAAGACTTCAGCATGAGCAGTTTCTTTTTAAAAATATCCCTTTAACATTTTCTTTTGTATTCTTGAGCTAACTGCTGCAGCTTTCTCTCAGTCCTATCTTCACAGATGTGCAACACTGAGACCAGGATGCCCAAGACAACCTTACACTTACTGTTATCCCTTTGTTTTATGTTGCAGCCAACAGCTTTCACATTACTGCCTACTTTATGAAGAGATGGGTTAATCTCCGTTGTGCTGTAGGGCAACATCGTGGTAAAAAAAAAAGGTAAACATCGTGGTAAGAAATCACTTCTTATAGTGTTACTTGGAATTTTTCATTTCTGGGAGGAGAAGGAGGAGCAATAACTAATACATTGTCAGATTTCAGTCTGCTTAATCAAAATGGCTTTGAGAACTTGGTTTTGCCTTTTTATTTTTCCCCCCCCCAGAGGAAGTTCCCCCCCCCAAAAAAAAAAAAAAACCCACAACTGTTTCTTAACATCAGATGAATTTTTTTAGAAAACCTTAATTCTAAATTTGTGTATGTCTTGCCCCAGGGTAATCAGCTAAGCCACACCAAATTCTGTAAGTATGATGAGACTCAGCATTTTACTGAGTCTCTGCAGGGTGAATCAGCCAGAGGTTGCAGGATGAATCACTTCATTATTGCTCGAGTGTCTTGTGACATCAACTGTACAGTACAAGTGGATGCAAGAAAAGGCTTTCATTCACCTCAGTGCTATAAAATCTTTACATAGATGATGTCATTGGACCAGATCTTTTTTCATGTTTCCTCAAGCTGAGATGCTCTGCAAGAAAGTGATATCAATCCTGTCCCACCAAAAGCAATAAAAAGGAGTTATAAATATCACTGCCCCTTGTGTTTACCTTTTAATTTTGAAAAAAGCAAAATGGATCAATTGGGTGCCCTTAAAACACTGAAAGCTTCAATGGATATTTTTAAAGATTTTCTTATTTTTACAGGAGTTTGTGGCATTCTTTAGTATTTAAATCTCTTTAAATCTCTCTTCAAATGCTAATGAGTTGTTCTCCAAGTCCATGTTGACTGAAGAGGGTGGAAAGTTGATTTTAAATATTTCATCCAACTGTTTCTCCCAGGCTCCTGGAAGAATAGTGAGAGTAGAATAGTGGAGTGTCTGCATTGGTATCTCAGCACTGGCTTCTGTGTATCAGCTTGGAGCTTCGTTTAAGCATCACTGAATGCCTAAAGATACTTTCCCTTTGTTAGCCAGCAAGGGAGATTGTTACAAAATATAATGATAGAAATGGCTAACTGGAATGAATTTGCCCTACAAGTGCTGCCAAAAAGAGAAGCTCTGAAACTCCAGTGAAAACTTTGCTTCCACATAAAGCTCCTAAGAAGAAAGGAACTTCATTTCTTGGTTGTCACTCCCAATAAATAGCAAAATAAGCACATATCAAAAAAAAAAAAAAAGACAAACCAAAAAAAACAACAACAACAAACCAAACAAAACACAAACTAAAAAAAAAAATACACCAAAACCCCCACCACCAAACAAACCAACAACAAATGAAAAACACTGACACCACTGTTTCCTTTCTGTAAGACACACTTAGTATTTCACAAACAAAAAATAAACATTGAGCCTAATAAAGGATCTTGCATACTTTAATTGGTGATGCTCACTCAAATATCTAAATTAAACTTACCTAAGAGGCTGTTACTGGAACCCCACGTAACAAATTCAGTCCTTTTAACAGTTGTCCAGCTTTTCTTTTGTAGCCTGGTTGGAAGGTGTCTGTGGACTGCCTGCAGTGTGAAAACCGTTGTTCTAGACCTTTATGGGTGTTTTTTTAGATCTTGAGGCTACAAGCAGAGAAAGAACAGTTTGGACATAAGGCACAGCATGAGTACTTCCTTGGACACAGTTTTGCTAGCAGAGTTGATATTGCTGAAAAGATTATGAAAGGCTCATATTCATTATCAAGTTACAGTGGCTTAACAAGCTGTTGTGTCCATACAGATGCATCTGAGGTCTCTGTGGGTGCTTCTTCAACCAGGGGCAAATGCAAGATGTTCCAACCTCCCCATCTTTCTTTGTAAAGACTCTGGGAAAGTCACTGCTGGCACACACACAGAGGGCTTTGTCAGACACTAGTGGACATAGGTTGTTGGTGAAGAAGTAACCTTGTAGAGGGGCCCATAAGGATGGTCTGGCTTACTGGCAAATTGTGCACATCATGCCTATACTCAATTCATTGTGGGGAGATACTCTACAAAAAACAGCTGAGGTCAACCTCCTGGCTTGTTCTGCATGCCTTCTCTTTCTCAACCCAGAAAATAGGTCTTATGGCTTGGTTTTGAAGTATAACAAACTTTAAAAAGTAGTAATCCTCTTTTGATAAGATCAAACCAAATTAAAAACCACCAACAAAATATTAGCTGAAAATATGAAGATAGTAATCTTAGAAATAATGTGATATGTTAAATAAGAAAATGTCTGGCTATGCTCTTTTCATGGCATTGCTAGGTACTGAATAAAGCTTTGTCTGGTCTATTCTAATCTGAGAACTGTTCAATTTTTAATCCTTTGTAAATAGAAACTTTGTTGTGTTCATAACAAACCATGTGATCTTGAGTAAAACATGTAATTTGGTAATCAATTTGTTTAATGACTTCAAAAATCACCGCAGTCAGTTTGAAAAACACTTAGCCTTCTGTGGAGCTTTTATGCCAAGTCCTGATTGAATGTGCTGTGCTGTGTTACAAACATAATTTACAGCTTTTATGATGAAAAGACTCACCACCAGAACAGCACAAAAGGAATCATCATTAAGTGGTTTGTCTGTTGGTTCTCTCTGGTGGTTTTCTCTGGGGTGCAGGTGGACTAATTTTCAGCCATGCCTATCCTCTTGGGAAATAAATTGACACTGATTTATTGATTTTTTTGGAATGGTTTAAAAAAACAAAGCAAAAGAGGGATGGGATGTTGAAGAGAGTGTCTAAGAAGCTAGTGGAGTGCATGCAGCAATTTAAAGATTAAAATTTATTCAGCTGTTTTGTTTACTAAAGTATCATGTTATCATCATGTGTGGGTTTGAATATAGTTATAATTTTTGCAATCTTTTTTCCAATTCTTTTTTTATAGAGCTACGTGTATTTCCAGACAGATTTATTGTTTGTGTCAGTAAACTTGAATCTAATCCAAGTGCTTGGACATGTGAAAGTGGGGTGTTGGTATGTATAGACCTATTGTGTAAATTGTCTGGTTTGTGATATTGTGGGAAGATGAATGTTTATATATAGATGTAGTTATTCACAGTTGTGGTTGTCATCTTGGAAACACAAAATCATATTGACAGTTGGGCCAAAATATTCAGAAGGACATCCTGAAGTGAGTCTGAAGCAAACAAAAATGGGAATTGTTGGTAGCTGAGCATTTTCTCAGCCATATAAAGCTCAGAGAAAAAGGCCTTGCATTTAGAAAGCTAGGTATGGTTTTAGCATCTTGATTTAAGGATAATTTTTCCTTTATATCTTGTCTGTGTAACATTTTACTTTCCAAACTTGCAGTGGGGCTGCTTTTAATATCTGTGGTTTTCTTGTATGTTTTCTTAGCACTTGTTCTACAAAACAACTCAAATGGATCAGTGCTAGCCCTGCTGGGAGCAAACCCTCCCCAAACATTAACAGAGAAAAAGGCACTGGTGTGTAGTTAAATACCATGAACAATTCTACCTAAATATTTCATCCTGAAGGCTTTATCAGGGTCAAAGGCTTATGAATTTTATGCTGCACTTAACTGCTGCTTGTCTCAGGAGTGCTCATGTTGCCCCAGGTGGGCTGCTCTGTGGCAGGCAGCCTCTGCTGTGCTCACAGTAAGGGTCAGAATTACACGCTGAGGTCTATGTATATTTTAGTAGTTTATCTTAGCTGTATTAAAGTATATTTGACCCTTGGAAAAAAAAATTATTCTACTCCTTCAACATAGTATTTTTTTAATATCAAGCAGGGTGTTTTTATTATACTAAATGCAGATTTTATGATCTTGAGTCCTAGGTTGGTAAGTATCCTTAAATGTCAAAGGATCAAGCAAATGTTTTCTCTCTCAGAAAAAAATCTAACTGCTTTAGAAGTACTTTGCTCTTGAAAATTGCTACTTTCTTGGTATTGTCTTGAAAACTACTTAAATGCTTTAAGTAGAAAGTCCTGTCTCTGCATTTTGACTAGAGAAATAATGATTTTTCTTTTTCTTGCTTAAGTATCTCTTACGAGATATCAAATTCCCCCATTTGGTGTTTTTAATCTTTCCATAAAAGAAAATATGAGATGTTTTCTTTAGTTTCTTTCACATGATTCTGTCTAGTGAGGAGAAAGCAAATAAAAAATACAACGTTATAGACTTTAGCTTGACTATTTCAAATTTTGATCTTGATGTATGGAAGCTCTCTGTTGTTTACCAAGGGAGCTTAAACATGTTTATATTTATAAATAAGTAAATATGTCTCTTAGTGGGATCATAACCTAATCAATAAGACAGCCCTGGGAGTTTGCTGTACTTACAGATGCGTTGTGTACACGGATTGGAGGGAGAAAGATAAAGTTATCCCTAAGCCATCTTCCCTGATTTGGAGGACAAGATGTGAACAGCCCCTGAGCAAATGTTTTGGAGTATCTTTTTAATTCTTACCCCTTGAAGGGTCTGCTCCAGACTGCTTTGTTGATCCAGAATCTCTACTGCACGTTAGTACCAAATTTGTCATACACTCCAGTTGGGTACTTTGCCAGACTGGGGGAGTGTTTGATTGCCACTGAGAGGCAATTTCAAGTTTTTGGCAGTGCAGAAGTAAAGGCTAAAGATCTGCACTTTATGTCTGTACTTTTGACTCTGCAGTTTAGCAGTGAGTGTGCCTGAACTCTAAACTAGACTAGGAGAGACCACCCAGAAGACCTTTCCGTTGATATACTCCAGTGTATTCTGTCATGGGCTAAAAATGAGACACATGTTGTGTTTTCTTCTGTGTGGTGTTTGGGTTTGAATAATTTCATAATGTTGTGTGCAAGTTCTTTTAAACGTTTAATCTGCTCACACCCTTGGTTTTGAGGGTCTATCTGTGTTTTAAAGGAGTAGCTGACTGTACGTTAATGGGAACTTTTCCACCTTTCAGTGTTGTTGAATGTCTCTGCAATTGACTTTGTCAAGATTTAACAATCTTTAAAAAAAGCTTTTATTCCAGTTTATGGTTCGGGTCAAGTTTTCATTCTTGAGCTCTGTGAAGTCAGGCTCAATGCCCTGCTTTCCCATCACTTGGAACCAGTTTTATGGCAGCCTGATACATGTTTCTTTCACTCAGTACAACTTTCTCTTACCTCACTTATCTTCAGCACTTTATCCTTTGACTTTTCACTGCCTTTTAGGCTATTCTTTGTATCTCTGAAACAGACTGTGCTTAAACCAAGGGATGTAGTCAGGTATGAAATGAAATTCTTATGTCCTGCATCTTAGGAAAGAAATATTATCATCATAATTATCATTATCATCACGATGAGATCACTTTTGAGATATTCACAAGCACAAACCTTAGTGTCAATTGCTGAGAGAAGCAATTTGAAGCCTTCTGTGATGCATAGTGTAAGACCAAGGAAAAGGTGGATTAGGCAGCCTCTGTCAAATGAGCTTTAAGGATAAACTAATAAGACATTTGAGAGCCCTTCTAAGGAGTAGAGCTGAAATAAAATAGAAGAAAATCTATTTATATGTAATTTTCTAGAATCTACTTAGAGATTGATGTTTCTGTGGTCGTATCTAAAAATCAGCCTGCAGGCAGTAAAAATCATTTTGGATGAAGGGAAACATCTATTAATGAAACAATACAGCAAGTTATTGAAAAATACATAAGTCAATTGGAAGTCTTAAGGAAAAGATGGAAGAATAGTCTGGCTGGTTAATGCAAAGTTAAACATAAAACCATTGTTTCCTCTTTTGCCAAACTACGTTTGTAATCTTGAATAGTTTTATCTTGAAAAAGAAGACAGTTTTGGGAACATGGCAAAAGAGGAAACCCAGGGAAATATGTGAGAGCTCTGGAGAGATTAGTCATCTTTGTCAGTGACGACATTTTCTCGGTGATTATTATGTAGAGAGCTGAAATGGAAAATTGGAAATGGGTTATCTGAAGAAACAGTGGAAATGGAAATGGGTGGAAAGCTTGTTGGAAGCTTGTGGGCATTTGAAAATGTGCTAACAATGGAGTATTCATTGATAACCACATCGGCTTTAGACGGGAATCTATGAGAGGAAGCAGTTGTAGGGAAGGCATGAAGGACGTTAGGCTAATGGTGGTATTAAAGTAAAATTTGAGATTACTGTTCGTGTGAAATGAGAAAAGAAAATGGGGAGTAGGAAGCCCTGTCTCAATGGAAAAGATTTTGGGGTTTCCACTGAGTCTTGGAAATTGCAAAGAATGTTAAAGGAAAACAAAGATTCTTTTCCAAACAGAGTATTACTCTTAAAAAAAACCAACCAAACAAAAGAAACCTGCGTAGGTACACCAGGAGAATAAAAGTGCTAAAGAAATACCCAGTGCGTTTTGAATCCCTACCAGAGAAATAAAAGCAAGCTATTTAATCATTGTCATACGTGTCTGTTTTTATAAATTGTGCCATTGAAACACTCAAATTGTAACAAACAAGTGAGTATGTTACAAACTCATAAGAGCATAAATGACATCATTTGCTTGGATTTTGGTTGTGCTGGGAAGAGGCTTCTGGTTCTTTGATGAAAACATGTTCACTTAGCTGTAATTAACAGGAGACTTCTAACACTAGAGTCTATGCTGCTGGAATGGCGTCTGGGGAAGGTAGAATGAAAACTTTTTTCAGATAGCAACAATTAGTAAAGATCACTAGAAGGCTTTATGTGGAATTTAGTTATCTTAAATACTTTTAAGATTTTATTGTTAGGTGATATCAGATTGGGTAGGGGAAGAAGGAAATGCTGTGAAATACGATTGCACAATTCACACTGTGTAAGTGCTAATCTTGGCATGGAAATTTGTGTGCATATATATATATAAATTCCATGGTTAGGCTGCTGTAATGGTGGGCTACTACTGGAAAGGTCAGTGCACATCCCCCTCTAATTCCAGCTACATATTCCCTTCCTTTCTGGTTACAATGGACCAAGTGATGCTTCAGTTGAGAATGAATTAGTTCATTGACTTGATCCAGCAGAAAATGATTTGTATGTGAGGTTTCTCTGTTTTTTATTGGACGATTAGTTTTCCATCATGTCAGTTCACTGAACCAACTCATCCTGTACCCAAACAGTTGCCAGCTGTGACACAAAAAATGTTGCAGGAGCAAGCAGCCAGAATTTGGATCAAGGGAGCAGCACCACCCCTTTAGGCAGCACCTGATAGTGCTTTGGAAGCAACATCCAAAACACACATTAATGTTACATTTGTTATGATACTTGTCTTGTTGATGGGCTTCTATTTCATTTTTCTTTTTTAAATATAATAAAATCTAGTTTTCATGTGTTTTCAGATAATATGCTCAATTCTTTTTGGTCATTTTAGGAAACATAGCTAGAGGAAGACAACATAATGTTAAGCTGTAGCTTGGTAACTCTATGAACAGGGTTCACTCCTTTTTTCAAAAAGCTAGAGAGGGGGAAGCTGCAGACTAATGAACCCTGTCCAAATACCACATAGTGGAAGAGGTAAAATATTGCTTTTCTCTTTGAGTTTCACTTTTGACACTTCAAGCTTCCATTCTTTTTTTCTACTCATCCTTTGTATTCTGCTCAAGCTGATTCAGGAGTGATGGTCCTGAAACATGCTGTGCCTCCTGCCTTCTTTTCCCTTCTCTTAGCCATGCCTGTTTGTCCTCAAGTGTCTGTCGGTACTGGCATGTGTGGGGAGCTGGGTGAATTCATTGACCCCTCTGAAAACAAGGAGTTTTTGTGTTTTGTTTTGAGGGTTTTTGTTGTTATTTTCATGGCTAGCTTTCAGCTGCATAGCTTCGGTCAGACTCGCTGTGTGGCTGACTAAATGCTAAAGGCTTGGCAGGACCATGTGATAGGTAGGGTGAGATTCCCCTTCCAATATCAGGATAGCTTGAATCCTAAGACCTAAGAATCCTTCTCTTTGAGAAGCTACATTGCAAAGAAATGATTAGTAAGGACTTTGACTTGGTCATAAAGAAGAAAGCTACGGCAGTTTTCCAATATTCCC